ATATTTTCTACGCTTCTCCTGCTCAGCTATGAATAAAGTTTTAATAACAGGCTCTTTAAGTGCTGCATTAATTTTGCACTGCCTTCAGGACCACCAAAGAAACCAACTAAGATGCAAAATCCCTTCAGACTGTGCACCACAACTACATACCAAAGCACAAATAAAACAAGCCTCAACAAAATAAAAATGAATCCAGCATCATCTACGAGCCCAACTTCAACACTGTAAAAAAGCACCTATAAAAACCAGCCATGGCAAAAACTGGGAAGCTTTGGACTTTGGCCAAGAATTCAAAAGTTTGGCTGCTTGTACCAAATTTTATCTTCACGGCCATAACATTGGGAAGACTGAAACCTGCAAGTGTGGCCTCTCCTCCTCTCACAGTCCAGCCAAGACTTTCCTTCCTCTCACTAACAGTAGCCCACACTCGATCCCAAGGCAACATCAATTTCCTACATAAGCCCCACTCCCAGGCACGAGGATATTGTCCTCTGCTTCACAGACACCTGTCCAAAGAGGTTTAGCAGGATTTGAGCAACTAATGAATATTTAAACTCCAGAGTCCGTGTGGAATAATTTTCATGCTGCTCTCATTAACCCGTGTGTGGATGGAGTGTTGGCCGTTTCCTGTGTGATTTTGTTGCAGGGACAACATTAATTCTCTCTCACCTGGACACATCAACAGAGCAACGTGGACTAGCTTAGATGGCAACAACTATTTATTTGGGTACTGTGAATAAAAGTGATCAACTCAGACTCTGCTCCAAAATACATGTGCCCTTAAAATGTGAAAGGTTTTTAACTCAGTAGTCAAAAACAACAGCTGTAGAGGACAGAGAGCTGTTTACCACTGTATTAGCTCTGAAACCTGACCTCATATGAGAAATAGCTATTCGTAACTATTTCACTGCCACAGTTCTGAGCACCAAAGATTGGAAATAATCATGATGTAACCGTCAAAGAGGAAAAATAAATATATATCTAGTGACATGCTGCTGAGTCCATTCAGACCAAGATTATTTTATTCTGTCTTACCTTGGAGTATTCAGTGTTGTGGTTCTTGACCTTCCAGTGGAAGAATCTGTCATGTTTTTCCTCTTGGGCTTGTGCCTGATTCACACAGTGAGGAGACCAGTGGGATGCTTATGAGTTTGAGGGAGACTTCAAGGTTGAGTTCAACTGTTTGCTGTACAAGTTCAAGCTCTACAGGAGTCATGTATCAGTTTTGCCACCATCCCAGACAAGATGAGTAAGAGCATCACCTTCCATGGAGAAACTGACTGTCAAAGACCCTTTCCCAGGTGTTCAAAGTACTCCTTAATAATTGCTTCCATTTATTTGTGTTCTGTCTACACCAAAATCTGCTCAGCAGTGAAAAGTTACCACTTTGCCGATAACATTCCAAAACAGAGGAACAGAAATGCTTTTAATATTAAAGTAAGGACAAGCTGACAGGGAGAACACTAAACAGATCTTGTCTAATTTAATAAAATTAGTTACTTGAAGCTGCAACAAAATTTGAGCATGAGCAGCAGGTTTAGTCACTGGTGAGCAAGGATGATGTGAGCAAGGGAGCTCAGGGGAGAAGCTTGGCTGCAGCCTTTCTGCTCTGAACACCTCCCTTCTCCTTCTGCAGCCATGGTTCAGATTTGTTTTCACCTCAGCTTGACACACAGTTGCTGCCATTTCATTTGCAGATCTGAGGAAATCATGTCAGTACAAGAAGTGCAATAGTTTTGGAGTTTTGTTTTGTTTTGTTTTGTTTTGCAGATTAATTAAATAGTTATGGAAATAAGAGCTAAACAGAACTGGTTTGAGCCAACTTGCTTTATTGGCTGTTGACTATCTGAATCTTGCTAACAGCTTCTGGTTTCTTACACCTTCTCTTCTCCCAGGTCTGGTTCCAGGCTGAAGATCAGCCACCACCACTTCAGCAGCACTTCATTATGCTCAGACCCAGCTCATTTATGAAAAATTAACATTTTATTTTATCTTTGTCAACACCCATCACAGCTGCTGCCCCAGTTAAAACAAGGCATTTCTGTTTCTTAATTGTGTTTCTCCTCTTGTTTCTTGCAGCTCTGAGGCACTCTGCAAAGGCAGTTTGGGAGATGAAGGTAGGAACACTCTGGCAATGCCAAAGTAATGAGTTTGTTCCTCATGGTGATTTTTGATGCAGGAATCCAGCAGAGTGTGGAGGAGGGAAAGTGTCCCGCAGTCCACGTTCTGGTGGAAACGTATCATTCGTGTTTCTGCACAGGGTCACTAAGTGGCCGTGGCACATCTCAGCTGGAAGGGCTTAAAGCTTTGAGTCTGGACTGGATCCAAATTGAGTGGTTGCATTCCTCCACCCCCCAAATCCCCTCGTGGATCCAGCTGGAGGCTGCTTTTGCCCCTTTCTCTCCTAACCTGCAGGGCCGGTTTATGTGCTGACACACCTATTGCTTTCACTGCAGGGGGAAGATAATTCAGAACTGAGAGCATCACTATGGATTTGGGAAATCCAGGTTTTCTGAACCATCCCAGGTCTCCCAACATGGGGCCCATCATTTAGTCTTTCCACAGAAGAAACGGAGATAACAACACGTTATTATTATTATTGTTTTAAAGGGGTGCTGTGGGCATGAACACATGGAAACCTGTGAGGCACTCAGATATTACAGTAATCAAAGTCATATACGGAACAAAAATTGACAGATCACATCTTCACAAAACCAGCAAGAAAATCTGCAAAGCATCTGGATGAAGACAAGTCCAGAAATATACAGATATTGGAATAAGACTCTTTCTGCCAGTATTTCTGTCTGATAGGAGTTAAGATGAATTATCAATCACAAATAGAGAACTATAAAATGTAAAATGAAACTGTATTATTATAATTTTAGTTCTTGATTTTCCTTATTTATCTTTCCAGCTCTCTTCCACTACTAATCTATCTTATTTAAGAAAAATAGTATATAAGTATAGTGGAGCTTGATTACTGAGAATGGCTATTAATGCAGTGTCTCAGAGCACCCTCTAGACAGTTAAAAAGCTTTTAACAGTAAAATATGAAGGTTTCCTTCAAATTTGCAGTCATCTGCCTTCTAAAACTTTGTTTCAGTTGCCAACATTTCAGTGATTTATAGAAGCCAAAGTATCTGATTTTTGTCTCCCCACAAGAGATGAGAGCTATTTTTTCTTATTTTGTAAAGGCAACATCATCATCTTAAGCAGAAAAAAGAAAAAAGTTAAGAGCTACATTAGAGATACAGCCTTCAAAATAATTTTTAAGGCATCTGGCCTTATTTAAACCATCAAATTTACATTCAATTCCTTCAGGATGGCTCTGCTGCTTTGCGCTGGCTCCGTGCCCTCTGAATAAAGCCCTGGATTTAATGCATGCCACCACTGCCTTTCCCTGGCTGCTCGGGGTGGATATACAGTAGAGGTATAAAAAATAGAGGTATAAAAAGCTGAACCTTGGACAAGAGGATTCATTCAGGGAAAAAAAAAACCAACAAAACAACAACCAAAAAACAACAAACCCTCAAACCTGTAACTGTTTAAGTTTCAACTAGAGGTGAGACTTGTGACTAACTTGTCACTATCTACTTATTCTTAAATAATTATTAGAAGTGTTTAGGTACTATGAAACATTCTGTATGAGCTGGATGGGAATCTATAAAACATTTTATGAGATCTAGACAGGGCTGACGGCAGAACCTTAATACAACACAAAAGTTCATCTACGCTCAAGAAATGCCAAACCCCACTTTTTTATTCTGCTCCCCACTCAGGGAGGGTTGACACTTGACAAAGAGGAGTGTGCTCTGAAAACCCAGGGGGGCACATTCTGCAGGGTCTGAGTGTCTCTGGAGAAACACAGGGCTCTGTCAGCTTCTCTCGATTTCCAGAGGAAGGCAAAATTCTTTTAAAGGGTTTTATTCTCTTAGGAAAGCCCGAGGAAGGACAGGTCAAGAAATGAGATGAAGCCCAGCTGGAAATTTGCATTGTGGCAAATCACCTCTGACAAGTTTTAAGCTGAATTATTATCCCTGTTTTGTGCATGGCTGGAGTAAAAATCTGAAAACTGAGGCAGTAAAACCACACAGCAGGGCAGGTACTGAACTGACAGCAAAAGTCACACTCCCTTTTCACACAGCCTTATTCCTACTGAAACAGATGCTTCCCTTCTTCAGGTAACTAGTGTGAAATAATCAGCATCACCTGATCCATTCACTGTAAATCCAGGTTAAGAATCAAAATGACTTGCCAGTTGAAATTATGCAGGAATAAAGCTATTCATATGCAGCCATTTAGCTGAATCTCAAACCGATTTTTATACATATAATAAAAATGTGTAGCACCAGCTTAAACATACATCTCTGTTTCTGCAGCATGGGAACTGGTGCTAAGACACACTCCAAATGCAGCACGAGTATTACTGGCTGCTTTTTTGTTTTAAACAGAGTTAAAGAAAACTCTGAAGATGAGAAAAAAGAAAAAAAAGTAATTACTTCCCAAAATAAGAATAAACTGGGTTAGTCCAAGATAGGGAGACATAACCTACCTTGTTTGACTCTAAATTCAGCTTCCTGACTTGTACAGAGAAGTGAAAGGTTATTATATGGGTTTGCTGGGCAAACACAGATTTTATAAATAATTGCCTGTCAGGCTGTTCAAGATAGACAAACATACAGCAGACCAACAAAAACATGATCTGTCATATTTCTGAGAGAAATGTATGTTGAGTCTTCATTCTCTGGGACTTTAAGTAGACCAGTAAAAAAATAAGTGCCAGTATTTTTCCTGCTTATGCATATTTTAAAATGTAAAATCTGGGAGAGATACAGCTACAGAAGGAATTTTGATTCCAGTACCCAGTGCCTGAAATGGTTTCTTCTGTCTCTGTCCCTGCATATCGAAACCAAATACAATAAATGCTGGTGTCCTTTGAAAAAAGTCTGGATGTTTACAGCAAGCGTATAATTTTCCGTGATTAAGGACGCCAACAAAAATAAAGAGTGATGATAAAAAGAAAAGTTTAATCATATATTTCAAGAAGCACAGATGGAGCATTAGAAAACTTCTCCCTCCCCTCGTTTAATACGCGGCGTTGTACACGTTACTTTCAGTCCTTTACACACAGACAATTTCCAGAAAACAGAAGCAAAAAGTAGGCAAAAGAAAAAAGCAGTTTATGAACGTCAGCAACACTCAATGTACAAAGGTCACTTCTACAATATTTTAGGTGCAAAGAGACATTTTTTTTCTGTTTATTTAAAAAATACACATATATTTAAAGTTTTTGCGAGCAGGTCCAGGAGAGCAGGACAACAGAACCACCTACAAACGAACACAAGACCATAGAGCAGGAGTAAAAATTAAGACCTCACACACTAAGCACAAAGGAGGAGGACGGCTGCACTATATAAAACTAATATTTTGCTGATCTCCTCTTGATCCCTTGAGTGTTCTGTATTAATTTGAGGTTTAAGTTGGATTCCAAGCCTGGTTGAAGCGGATCTGGGCCCCTGGGTAGCACAGGGAAACCAGCAGGACGTGCCTGCAGATCCTGGTGATGGGCTTGAAGCACGAGCGCTTTTCTCTGGTCAAGCATCATCGTGGTCAGCTCTATATTTGTACAGTTTTATGGGAAGAAATGAATGTGTTTGTGAGGCCAGCAAAGGCTGGAGGAGCAGCCTTTGGGAAAAAGCATAGAGGGAGGGACTGAGATTTAAAAAACAAATCTTAAAACCAAACAACATTACCTAAAATATATATTAAAAAAAAAAAAAAAAAGGCAAAAAAGAGCTTGGTTTCTTCTTTAACCAAATCCAACAGTAATGCTGCCTTTGTCAACAACAGGGACAACATCTGCTTCCTGCAGCAAACACTGAGCAAGTACATAACGTTAAGCCTTTGCCTACAACCACTGAGACAGACACAGTTATTTAAATACTTTAAGATGTATTTTTCCAAATAGGGGCCCAATCCAGTGCCAGAACACTGCAAAGACCTTCTTAGATTTCAGAGAGTAATGACTCAAGCCTTAGGAGATGCCAACATTGAGAATTTGGGGGTGACCACTTAGCCTATCCTTGGGTCTGCAAAAAGTCAAGTCTCTCACTGGCTAAGTTCAGTTTACCTGAACTTTTTTCTGAATATCTTTGGGTCCAAACTTGCCATTACTGTCATCAAAATCCCCTCACTGGATTAAACTGGGTTATACTGTCTGAACACTTAAATCAACGAGAGAAACAACTAGAAATTAGTGGAAAAGAGAAGGAAATAATTTTTATTTTTGTAAAAATCACAAGGAAACCCATGTAACCTTTATATAACCTATACAAACCAACACAACCGAGTCTATCTCTGGCCTCTTCCTGCCCCATCTTGCTTTAGAAAAAAACATCTTTTGGAGAACACACAGCCTTCCAAACACTTAAATAAAAATGACATGGCAGTCAGAAAGAGGCTGACAGCAGCAAGTCCCCTGCAAACTCCAGCATTGTCTGAGCTGCATTCTTGTCCACCTACACCCTATCCCAAACATCCTGCCATTAATTAGCTAAATGTTCCAGCTAGTAAACAAGAATAACGACTGAGGGGGCTGGAAAGAGAGACAGAGACAGCCAGCAGATAGTCACAACAAACCAGCCCACTCACTGGTACATGGAGACATTGGAGCTTGTATTTTTTTTCCTTCCATGGAGGGGAAAAGAAAATCACCTTAATATAACACTGTCTTTCCTGTTGCTGCAGCCACATCCACATCAGCAGGCGAGAAAAGTCATCCCGTTCCTGCGGTAGGCACTCTGTCAGAGAGAGAGAAAATCTGTAATGAATTATCACATCAGCTTAAACAAGGCAAGGAGGCACAGAGAAAGGCAAGGCTTTCTTCCTGTTTTGTAGGCTATTCTGGCTGCAATCTAATAATGTGCTTAATCTGAACATTTCTGGTGGGGAAGCTATAAGCAACCACTTTGTCTATTAAAAAATCAGTGTGGTTAACAAGTGGTTAGTGAGTCTATTTCAGGAGAGCGAGAGATAGGCAAAAAATGTAACATCCTATTTTGCTAATTGCCTGCAAAATAGATGAGGCCAAAAATACACCATTCTGCTGAATCTGTTTGTCCTGTATTGGCACGTGTTCTCCACTCACCACGTTCAAGAATAATTTCTAACCTATCTGAATAGTCTACAAATTATTGAATAATTACAGTTTTTAAACTTAATTTATAGTCTGAGTCTGAAGTTATGTAAACAGACACTGGTATAATCCCCACTACTCCAAACCCAAATTAATCTTAAAGACCCACTGGTCAGTATGAAATAATTTGATATCCCATATATTGTAACTTGGGCTCAAGTGTTTCCAATGGTAAAGCAGCACAGGAGTTAAAGAGCACTGGAGAAAATAATTTTAAAAGATCCTGTGATGCTGTCTTCCTAAAATACCTTTCATGCATTTTTAACAGCTCTTTCTGAATCAATATAGGAAACTATGCCTTTTTATGCCAGGCACACTGGAAACCCTATATTTTGAGGGGATATTCTCAGTTTAAAAATGCCTTTTTTTTAATATTAATGGTATCTTAAAAAAAGGAGTTTAAATACTTTTGCTTTATTTGGTTCACCTTCAGCAGTCATCTAGTTTTAAAAATGAAAATATAGTCATCTATTTCATTAAATTAGTGCTTTGTCAGATTTATTTTGTACCTCTTCAGCCCAAGCACTTAGGAAGTGCCATATATAACCACCATTTTTAGTGGCTCTACCAATTTCCTAATTAATTTCAGCCAGATCAATTCCTCCTCTCTTAAACTAGAATTAGAGTAACATTAGGAGCAAAGGATAACCTCAAACAACTTTGGATACAAATAGTATTTATACTGAATGGTAAGGAAATAATTTCAAAACCAGCAAGGATGTATTCAGACAGACATTTTACAGACAGTGAATATGCAAAAGGAAATATGTACAAGATGTTCATTACAGCATCCTCTACATTAACACCACACTCCAGTAGAGAGATCCAGCAGCACATGGCATTAAAATCAAAGAGCAGAACGTTAACCCTGGGATATACAGCCAGGCATCAGACATGACAGTATCACCACAAACAAAACACAAAATAAATCCAACGGCTCTATACTCCAACATGAAATGCCCAAAACAGACTAGCCAATAACTTTGAAGGGATCCAATATATTCCCACAACCACAAGCAGCAAGTCCAAGGCAGTTTGGATGTGCAGCTTGCCCAAACCATTATGGCTGGCACTTGGAAGTCGATGCAAAAGTAATGTTTTTAGCTCCTCGACCCTGATATTTTTATAGAGCTTTATAAACCCGAGTGACAACCTTAAGCAGATGAACAAAATATTCAGGACTATTGTGCAGTTTGCTTGAAGTTAAATGATCCCAAGTGCAAAGCTGGATCTACATGAAAGATAAAAGGTTGAATTTTGCGAAAGGAATTTTGGTTGCAAAGCAAAGTTGGGCTTGGCTGGTCTCACCTGGGAAATAATGAAGTTTAACATTTTCCAACACAGGCAGTGTTATACAGGCAGTTGTATCCCTGCAAAGGTCATTCCAGAAGCCAGTGTCAGCAGAGGGAGGAGAACACCTTCAGAGAGTTTGACACACCCACAGGTCTATATTTAGCGATATATTATAACCAGTGTGGCTATAGTTAGGATTGAAAACTATTTCCTACTTCACTCCTCGTTTCACATACTTTAAACCTTCTGAAACATTTGCCCTTGGGCTGAAGTTTCCTCTGCTTTAATCTCTGCCTGAAGTTCACTTTCTTTGGAAAGACCAACAAAATTCCTGAAGCCATTTTGAAGTTCAGCAATAATGAAAACAACACAATTTTCCTTCCCGTGCCAGAGAAAGTGATTCTGATATATGCATATTTTATTAAGGAATTTAGCCGTAAATTGAACCATTTTACCCAGAAACCATCTTTGCCTTCAACCTCAGCTTAAAGGCAACTGTTTTGAAAATCAGTATTTCAGAGGAGGGAGTTTGATTCATCCCATTCCATAACAAGATAACACTTCGTGCTCATTTTGATACATTACTAGATAATAAAGGTTAACCTCTGAAATGCTTTCAAGCAGAGAAAAACTATTTTACAGTCATCCCATCATTCTGAGTTATACCAGATATCTTTAAGATCTATACAGCCGAATTTGTGATACCAAAAGGCAGATCTTTACATGCCAAGACTTGTGAAGAGGAACAGCAAGATGTTTTTTATAAAACTTGCATGGGTATGTGCTCTTGCAAGAGAGTTTGGATGTATGTGGCAGATATTTAATGTGGTTGGAGATAACGCAGAGGGTTTGGATGACACTTCTGGATGCTTTATGCCACTTTGACAGTATCTAATTTTTTTTTTTTTAATATGATTATTTGGCTCAGAATTACAGAGAGAGGATGATGTAGGCTCTTGATGTGGGATTAAAATAGCTGTACACATTTTGCTGGATATATCTCGCTGTAGCCCAATGTCAAGAGCTAACATAAGCCCATGGTTCCTTCTGGAGTCCTTTTTGGAAAAGGTCTACTTTATCCAAATTTTCTGTGTGTTCTCTTAAAATTTGCTGTCTACCAGCCTGTGCTTTGATTTTTCTTGCTGTGGGTTAAGTCTCTGCCATGGCTGAAGGTTCATCAGCCTGTACCTATCCTGTGCACGGGTGGTCAAAGGACCACCTTTTAGACATGGGGAATTACTAAGCTTGGCCCAAATTACACAGTTCACCTTCCCAGAGTGGATTCCCTGCTCTGAAAAGCTGATTAAACCTTATTTGGCCAATCTAACTCTCACAGAAACTTCTTGCTCCTTGCTATCGTATGACAAGATTTTGCTCCCCCTTCTCTGACCTCGTTGAAGGTGAAATGACCGATTGCTGCCATCCAAAACCAGAGGAACCCTGCCTTGAAAATGTTGCTCCTTCAAGTTGTCAAAGCACGTTACATTCTGACATAAGACCCTCTTTGGGAATGCTATTGTTATTTAATAAATGAAGGCAGGGTTTTTTTCAGCAATCTGGAAGGAGGTACAATGAAGCAAGAAAAGATGAGCAGTGTTCACTGCTGTCAGTACCTGAAAGCAAGATCATGGTTCGCCCTTCGTTTGATGAAAGGAGGGAAAACTAACAACTTAAAAAGGCAATGTGGCACAAGGGGCCTTGGTTAAGGAACTTCTCAAATTTAATGAAAAATCCCCCTGTTTCTGCTCTCTTTTTTTTTGGTCCCATTTCTTTCACGTAGCAATAGCCCAATGTAGTGTTATTACGAAGAACCACAAAGAACCACTCCATGAAGATGACACCAAAACTCCTGTCCTCACAGTAGGTCCCACGAAATGAAACACGACCCTTCTGAACATGACCCTATGAACTGAAGAGTTCATAAGACAAGATATACTGTGATTTAGGACTAGAGGGAATGGTTTTCAACTTAAAGAGAGCAGGTTTAGATTGCATATTAGGAAGTACTCACTGCAAGGGTGGTGAGGCACTGGCAGGGGTTGCCTGGAGAAGCTGTGGCTGCCCCATCCCTGGAAGTGTTCAAGGCCAGGTTGGACAGGGCTTGGAGCAACCTGGGATAGTGGAAGGTGTCCCTGCCCATGGCCATCTCTAAGGTCTCTTCCGACCCAAATTATTCTGTGAATCAATGATTTACAGAAACAAGTCCCAGACAAAACTCAAGCTGCGTGAGTATTCCTCAAGGAGGTAACAGGTTAGATTAGAAAACCAAGACTTCTGAATGGGAACCTCAGCTAGAAACAATTTCCAGTTAACAATTTACACTAATGCATAATTTCACAGCTGTAGCATGATGGAAAAGAATAATTTTGGCAAGAGAAAGAAACAGATGTGATTTTTGAGTGGGCTGATGCTTAATTTTTATTTGGGATAAAATTTGGAAAGTCTGGGGTAAAACATCTCCAGCAGGCACCCGAAACACTGCAGTTTATTGGGCCAAATCCTCCATTGGTTTAAGTCTGCAGTTCTGCTTACATTGAAGCACAATGTCATACTGCAGGTCTGTTGTATCACTTAGAGATGTTAAATCCTAAATTATAGGTCCTATGTAAGCAAGTTACAGAATAGCATTTATAAGACTTGCTTGCTGTCCTCCTGTATGTGTGTGGGCAAGTGCTTTAATTGCAGTGCATAAAGTGGAATGGCAGACAGAGACATCCAAATCCAAGACCAAGCCCTGGCTGAACTTCATTAGCAAACATAAATGCAAATAGGCACATCTTGTTTGGGACATGCCACGGTCCTTTCCGCCTTTGGTAATTTTACTCTATTCTCTGACATTTGCATAAATGTAAATCAAACCATATGACTTGAGCAGGTTTATGATAGGGGAATCATATGCAAAACTCCTTGCCATTAAATAATTCTCTTCATGCAGCCTTACAATGGTACTGTGAAAATCAGGGAGGGTTGGATCTCAGACAGTGAGAGCCTTTATTTAAGAACAGTGGAGGGAGCCCTGCCCTTTAAATAAGAGACATTCCTGGATCAGACACTGGCTGGCAGGATGGAAAAAAGGATGCAGCATTAACTTTCATTTCATTCCAAATAACCTGGAACCCATAAACCACCAAGATTCTCTAATTTTAAATCTACTCCTTTTCTCCCTGTGTCTTCTTTCCATTTTATTTGGGGAATGTTAACTTTGAAATTTCATTAGCCTGCCATAATATCAAACAAGTCACCCTGGACAGATTCATTGCTCTCTGTACATAAAAACATCTACATTAAACCCCCTGTGATTAAAAGGTTACTCCTCTAATTTTTCC